CTTCTCATTGGTACATCCAAATTGCCAACATCCCTACTCCTGCACTTTGGGGACATTATTAAGTTACTTGAACATTACAATTACAAGAGTTACTTGAACATAAGCACTACAATACTGCAACAGTAGATCTGACCCAAGACGGCTACTAAGTGACTAATGGGCGGGTAGTGGACACAGCATGGAGATGCTGGACAAAGGGACGATTCCTGTCCCAGGCAGGACAGATCGGGAGGCACAGCATTCATCACGTAACTCAGAATGGTGCACAATTTAAAATCGTATGAATTGCCGAAACCGGTTTGGCTCAGTGGATAGAGCGTTGGCCTGCGGACTGAAAGGTCCCAGGTTCGATTCTGGTCAAGGGCATGTACCTGGGTTGCGGGCACATCCCCAGTGGGAGATATGCAGGAGGCAGCTGATCGATGTTTCTCTCTCATCGATGTTCCTAACTCTCTATCTCTCTCCCTTCCTCTCTGTAAAAAATCAATAAAATATATTTTTAAAAAATCGTATGAATTGTTTATTTCAGGACTTTTCCATTTAATATTTTCGGACTGTAGTTGACCGCAGTAACTGAAACCATGGAAAGCGAAACCTCAGATAAGGGAGAACTACTGAATACAGGCAAACTACTCTGAAAACATACCACTAAAAAAAAACCAAAACAAAACAAAAACACAAAAAAAGACCATTACCAATAACAATGTACTGGGTTTTCTTAAAGTATTTTTATTGATTTCAGAGAGGGAAGGAGAGACAGAAACAGCAATGATGGGCAAGAATTATTCATGGATTGCATTCTGCACGCCCTCTACTGGGGATGTGCCCTTCAGTCCGTAGGCCGACGACTCTCTAGCCACTGAGGCAAACTGGCCAGGATAACAATTTACTTTGTAAGTGAGAGAAACAAAGGCAGTGACAAAATAGAGCGAAAAATAGGTAAAAACTCAGACAGAACTAACGATAAGATATGTAAATCCTAAGCACAGGCTAAATTTTATTCTATGCCCCCAGCAGCCAGCACAGAAAGGGAAATTTTACCAGTTAAACAGACGCAAGCTTCATGTGGAAAACAATCCGATTGCTCATGACATTAGTTACTACTCTCGGTATTAAAACAGAGGGGAATCTCTCTCTCTAGGTCTTCCTAAGGCGAACACAGGGTGATGCGGGCAACACTGTCCCTACAAACAGCTACCAAGAAACAACCACGACTTTATGCAGGGCAAAGGCATTGTCACGTGATGACATTACACAACTCAACTTTGCAACCACCCCTGTCGTCTGTCCTCAGCTGATGGAAAACCTTACCTTGGTCCCACCTGGTGTTGCTGGTGTTCTTGGGGATGCTGGTGAGAAGGCGAGGCTTCTGATGGGAGACTTGGGCACAAATGAAGGTTGGTCCAGGCCTGAAGTGGATCTAGAGGATGTTGAAGCCTCAGAGGGAGACAGGTTCTCTTGTGTGTGAGGTAGGACATGATCTACCACCCATCCAGCATAGGAAGATAGCTGGGGAGTGGATACACATTCTTCTAAAACATCCTAGAGAAGAAGAAGAAGATGTGAAGCTCAACATGCATGTCAACTGAGATGGACTGAAGCACTTCCTGAGAAGGCAGCCTCATTTCTGCGGTATTCCTGTTAAGGATGAATAACCTGAGTATACACCAGACAGACCAATCCTGGGACTCAGCCTCTAGAACAGCCGTGGGCAAACTACGGCCCGTGGGCCGGATCCGGCCCCTTTGAAATGAATAGAACTAAAAAAAAAAAGACTGTACCCTTTTATGTAACGATGTTTACTTTGAATTTATATTAGTTCACACAAACACTCCATCCATGCTTTTGTTCCGGCCCTCCGGTCCAGTTTAAGAACCCATTGTGGCCCTCGAGTCAAAAAGTTTGCCCACCCCTGCTCTAGAATGTAAGGTATGTTTTTTAAAATTGTCAAAGATATAAAAGACAGGGGAACGCTTTAGAATTGTTTTACATAAAAGTCTAAAGAGACAGGGCAGGAGTTAGATTACCAGACACTCCAGACCAGGAGGTATGCCTTAACTGTTCCTACATGCCCCCTCCACCTGGCAGTCTAGTACAGAACAATGCAAATACAGTGATCACGCCCCCATTAAACTTCACAGGTCCGTCCAATGTCACCTAAAACTCTGTGTGATCAAACTTTTGGCCCGGTGCATAGAGCGCCGGCTTGAGGACTGAAGGGTCCCAGGTTCCATTCTGATCAGAGGCACATGCCGGGGTTGCGGCCTCGATCCCCAGTCGGGGGCGTGCAGGAGGCAGCCGATCCATGATTCTCTCTATCATTGATGTTTCTCTCTCTCCCTCTTCCTTCCTCTCTGAAATCAGTAAAAATATATTAAAAAATAATTTTTTAAAAGTCTGTGTGTGATTCTTCACTTGCAGCAATACGTCACATTAATCATTCACTGCAAAATCTGCCCCTCCTACACATGCAGGAACTTCACTGACCCTGAGGCCAGGGTTGCTTTGACAACATAGACGGAGGCGCCCAGTCTGGCTGCGGGGAGCGCCTCTGAAGGGGTGTCCCAGCGACTGGAATAGGCTGGGGAGAGCAGAAACCCTAGGGCAGCGTGGTGCACGTACAGGAGTCGAGAAACAAACGCGCGTGGTTAGAAAGGACGCACGGGGTGCGGCGTAGCGGCCAGAAGGGCTACGGCCGCCTCTGCATCCATTGCTCACCTCGCCCCGCAGGAGCCAGTCGCGGTGATAGCAGAGGCGACCTTTGTCGGAGCTGCGCAGCGCCTGCAGGGTCTCCCAGCAGCGACTCTCGGACGGCATGGCCTGTGCTGCACCCGCTCCTCCGAGATGCCGCGGGTGGAAAAACAAACCCCTCGAATCAGCCGCCCGGTTAACGAGCGCTCGCTTCCGCTTCCGGGGCGTGCACTCAGTTGTACACAGCAACACCGCCTCCGGAAGGCGGTACGCCCCACTTCCGGTGCCGGGCCGGATCTCCAGCGCGCCTGCGTACCCGGAGGGCCGGGCCTGCGGGGAACTTCAGAAGCCTGGAGCCTCCTTGTGGTAGAAAGTGGAATACGTAGTATTGATGAGGATGTGAAGAAATTGGATTCACCCCCACACTGCTGGCGGGACCCTAAACGGCGGCCGCTGCTGTGGAAGTCAGGCATTTCTTCAGAAAGGTGAGAGTTACTACACACCCAAGAGAAATTAAATGTGCGTCCATACGAAGACTTGTTGAATGTTCATAATAGCGTTACCCAGAATAGCTAAAAAGTCTAAACCCAGATATACATGAACAGGTATGTGCTACACAACAGTGATGGGCCTTGAACACATTATACCAGGTGACAGAAGCCAGCCACAAAGTTACATATTACATAATTCCATTTATGTGAAATGTCCAGAATGACAAACCCACAGAGACATGAAGACTTACTAGTGGCTGCCAGAGGCTGGGGCTGTAGGGCAATGGGGAGGGGAGTGGCTACTAATGCATGAAGCTTTCTTTTGGGGGAGATGAAAATGTAAAATTAGATCATTGTGATGATTGCACAACTTTGTGAATGCACTTAAAAACCACTAAATTATACACTTTATTTCCCAGAGCCAGCTTTGATTCGGACCCTGTAACTTTTTAAAAATGTTTTTATTGATTTCAGAGAGAGGAAGGGAGAGGGAGAGATAGAAACAATGATGAGAATCATTGTCTGCCTCCTGCACGCCCCCCCCGCCACAGAGATCGCAAGGTGGGGTAGGGGGGGGTGTATATGCCCTGACTGGCTTTGATGACCCCGACTCGATTGACCCTCAACCACTGAACAGCACTGGCCAGACCCGATCCTTTCACTTTAGAGTCTAAAGTTTAGCCTCTTCTTTTTCCTGTCTTATGGAATTAGTTTGAGATAGAAGGCTTCTCTCTGGAGTTTGATGGAATATAAACATTTTTCACTTTTTTGTTTGTTTTTTTTTTTTACAAACTCTGGACAAAGAAAAACAGATTATCATTATTATTATTATTAGTTGGTGCGTTGGCCGGGAAGCAAACCCAAATAGAACATTACTGGGAGAGGTGTTTCCCACACCAGCATTATAAATGCCTGTGCGCTGCACTGAGGTGTTCATTGGTTTGATGAAAATAAGAATGAATTATATAAATAGGTATGCACATTGGTGTGAGTGCCAACTGTCCTTTCTAGGGAAGGTCTTTCATATATTGTCCATGTAAGTTCAAGTCCATTTGTTAAGGGTGTGAAAACAGGCTTGGTTTTGTGCCAATGGTGGCTAGTAGTTGTTTTGTCAGAACTTCCTTGGCAAAATTAACAGCTGGAAACGACAGATGTCACCAAAATTTGGGGGTGGGGGAGGGAGTTTTCTGTTCATGAAATCCTGACGCCTGGGTGTGGCCACTGCCTTTGAGGACATAGGGGGATTCTCTGGAGTTTTGGACTTGGGTTATAATGGCTGAGAGAACAAGACTGGGTCAAGCAGAAGGCTTAAACCAGCTAATAAGTTTCAGCACCGTACCGAATGTGTTCTCTCTAAAGATTTGTCGCCTTGGCTGGTGTGGCTCAGTCAGGTGGAGCATCTTCAGGGAACACATACCTGGGTTGTGGGTTCAATCCTGGGTCAGGGTGGTGTGGGAGGCAACTGACCAATGTTTGCTGTCTCTCTCTCTCAAATCAATTTAAAAATCTTTTTGTTGTTGTTGTTAATCCTCACCCGAGGGTATTTTTCCATTGATATTTAGAAAGAGTGGAAGGGAGGGGGAGAGACAAGAAAAACATCGATGTGAGAGACACACATCAATTGTTTGCCTCCTGCACATGCCCTGACTGGGGTGCGGGATGAGCCTGCAACCGAGGTACGTGCCCTTGACTGGAATAGAACCCGAGACCCTTCAGTCCGAGGGCCGATACTCTAACCACTGAACCAAACTGGCAAGGGCTGTTGTTCTTTCTTTTAAATACAGGAAAAACGCGAAGAGAACAAAAATAGGCAATACATCATTCAGAAACCAATTAACATTTTAAAAACAGTCATATATATACACTCTCATTTTCTTTCTCCTAACAGCTAAAGTGGTCTGCACCCCAACAATGAACAATGCCTCCAGTCATTTCACAAAAAGCGCCCACAGGAGAAACTAGCTGGGCCACAATGAAATGAAAGATCTAATGTTCCATGCACCAAGTACTTTAAAAATAGTTACTGGCTCCCATTAAGCATTATTCTTAATCACTTTTAGAAGAGGGATGGGGGTGGGTAAAGGAACTCATCCACGGAGTCTTAAATATTGATTATAAAAGCTTTTTGTAAAGCAACACAAATATTTCAAGGATAAATGCATTCCATAGATACAAACCTGGCAAAGAGAAACAAAAATTAATTATCTTGGGATCACACTTTTAAAAGGCCAACTGGACACGAGCCCTTGAGTGTCTGTTGTGAAGTGCGTGGGGCAAGTGGCCTTAAGGAAACTCGGATTCGAGAGGTTTCCATTGGGCGTGGGAAAACACCGCACCCAGGACGTAAGGAAAAGCGGGAGTAAATGTGCTCACAACCCAGGAGGGGTGGGGAGGGCCTCTGCTGGCTCAGGTCCAAGAATTAAATATATTTCTAGAAAGAGGGCTGAAGGGGACTGGAGGAAAAAGTCCAGTCCACACATTCTCTCAGGAAAGGAATGTGCTAGGTCACAGTGAGTTAAAACCTGGTTCCCTCATAGTCGTAGATTTAAGGCCTGGCAGGGTACTTAAAAACTTCCTTCAGGCAACTCCAGCAGAGAGAGAGCTGAGTGGCTCCTGCTGCTCCATGCCCTGCCGCTCTCGGGACTGTCATGGAGCCAGTAGCTAGGCACAAGATCCTAAACACACACTTCGTCACCGGAAGAGGGAAAAGCAACAGGCTTTCCAGGTATGGCTTGGCAACTTGTCAGTTCCCATGGCATCAGTCTGGGCTCCTGTCTGGGCCTCAGACAGGAGGAGACCTGGAGCGGATGGGAGAGCTGGTCAGGTAGGTCGTGTAAGGACTATCCCCAAACACGTTGGCATAGGAGGACTTGAGGAACTGGACGTAGTTCTGCATGCTGCGGTTGGTGCTCTCTGACTGCTCCAGGCGGTCTTTCAGGTCTTGCAGCCGGCTCTGGTAGCGGCGCTCAGCCTACGAGAGGAGCAGAGTTGGGTCAGGTGTGTGTGAGGTGCCCAGCACAGACAAGGCCACAGCGACACAGAGACTTTATTAGGGTTCCCAGGGGCTGACCGGGAGAGGATTGGGGAGTGACTGCTAATGGGTACAGAGTCTCTTTTTAAAAATATCCTAAACTCATATTGTGATGATACTTGTACAACTCTGAATATACTGAAAACCACTGAATGATGCAGTTTAAATTTGCATAAACGTGATTTTCATGGTATATAAAATGGTATCTTAAAGCCGTTAATAAAAAAATACAAAGGATCTGCCAGGGGTATCCTTTGGGGATAGAGAAAAATTAAACCATGTCCTTTTCATAAAACAACAAAACACCTTGCCCTGCCGGTCCCAGGAAGCCCAAAGTTCGATCCACTCCCATCTCTTGTGCCCGCTGCCCTCCAGCCTGACTCACGTCGTCACGGCTCCGCCGCAGCTGGGTGAGCTCAGTTTTGGTTCTGCTCAGCTGGGTCTCAAGGTCCAGGATTTTGTTCTGGGCTGCTCGTTCCTTGGAGACCGCGTGCTCCTTGGTCTGCTCCACCTGCCCGGCAGGAACGGAGGTGGAGGTGTCCACCTGATGGTGAGCACCTCGCGAGGAGAAGCCTGGGCCACTCCCCTGTCTGGTCTCAAGGACCACACTTGCACATCACCATGGCCAGTTGTCTGGGGCCTCGGGGTGGGAGCTGACTATGGGGACTACCTCAGCAACCATCTTTACCGGCCCTTTCCCAACACCCCGAGTCCTCGTCACCTAAGATGTGACAAGCCTGTCTGAGCCCATGCAGGCAACAATTAAATGAGCAATCATGAGTCAGGGGTCAGGTCCTTCACAAATTGCTCATTTGATCCTTATGGTGAATTCACGAGGCAGGTGCTACTCTAGGCCCATGTTTCAGGTGGGAAAATACGCTCAGAGAGGTTATGTGGTTGGGCCACGGTCACAGGATTAGTAATGGAATTGACACTGACCTGCCTCCTAGCATCTTCAATGGCGCTCTCCAGCTGCCTTGCCAGGGACCCACATTCCCGTGTTTTCTCCTCCAGCCGCAGCTGGGACTGGTGGATTGCCTCCTCCCTCTTGGCAATCACCTGTAGGAACTCGATATTCTGGGCACTGGTCGCCTCCAGTTTCCTAGGTGAAAGCACTCAGTCAGATCCTGTTCATTTCCATACCTGCCCTGTTCACCCTGCCAGGGGGCTGCAGCCACCCTGGACCAGGGCTCTCGTCACGCAGGGAACCTCCAAGGAGCCACAGGAATAAACCAAAGGAGCGTGCTGATCAGCCCGGCGGCAAGGAATGGCAACTGGAGCAGCTGGTTGGAGAACGGTGTGAAGGCAGGAAAAGGAAGCAGACCGAGTGCGGGTGTGCTAAGTGTGCACATCTTCACGTAACACAGCCACGGGCAGCTCGGGAAGGTGGGTTCCCTTATTCCCCCCTTCAGATGAAGACACTCAGCCTCAGAGATGTGAAGTCACTGGCCCAGTGTCACCCAGCTGATAGGCCTGCCACCAAAACTCATGCCCTCACTTCTGTTCACTGCTGCCTCCTCCAGCAAAGGGACTTCAGCCGGACCACTCAGTACCTGGCGTGACCAGCCACGGGCAGCAGTGACCATCCCGATGTGCCAGCGCAGTCGCCACTGCACTTGTGGAACATGCTCCACGTTAAGGAGCTCTGCGAGTCCTGCCGCGTCCAGCTGCATGTTTGAGGCCAGCAACGCAGAGTAGAGGTGAGGGGGGCCCAAGAGACCAACCGGTCCAAGTTTCTCCCTGTAGGCTGCACGAGCAGGCACAGCCTCCCAGGACCTCAAGCCCTCATTTCCCAGATGCTGGAAGCTCTGGAGGAAGACCGGAGGCTAAACTGCAGCTTTGCCAGGTACCAGCTGAGTGACCTTGGGCAAGTCACTGAACTCTCCCGGAGCTGTTTCCTCATTTAAACGGGGATAATACCAATACATGCCACCTATACTGTACAGTTTTGTTTGCCAGGTAATGTGCTGAGCCCTTCGAAGCTCATCTCATTGAAGACTCACAATAACCCCACGTGCTACACTATTTTCCCTGTCTTGGTCCCTTTCTCAAGATTAGTAATCAGAGGTTCAAAAGGATTACATAACCGGACCCCAGGCCAGGGCTTCTGATTCCTAAAGGCGTTGTATTCACCCCTGACGGCCTCCTGTGTCCACGGGAGAAGCATCAGAATGCTTGTGGGCAGGATGACGGGGAACACAGAGCAGTGGGGGGGAGATGCCCCACAGCAGCCTGCAGGCCCTGCGGGTGGTCCTATGGGTGGTCTGAGGTTGACCACTGTCTTCTGAGGCATCACCCCTGGCAGGAGACCACCTTCCTCGCCCAATGCTTACCACTGCGCTGAGAGCAGCTTTTCCTCCGAGGTCTGCCTAGCACCTTCTAGCACACTAAGCCCAAAGCAGCTAAGCGGCTGAAAGTCTCAGGTCCTAGGAAGAGGACAGAGTTGGAACCAAGTGCCTCTAACCTCTCCAGGTCATCCACCTTCAGACTCAGCTGTTTATTTTCCTTCTGGGAAGCCTGGTGTTTCTCTCTCGCCATCTCCAGCTTGTCCCCCTGATGCTCGATCTAAAATGACAGGAACAGACTGGTTTACGAAGGAACTTCCGGTACGGCCCTGCCTTCTCCCTGACCTGTAGTCCACACCCAGGAGAGGCATGCTGCCCTCAGCAGGCATCCAAGTCTCCACACACAACCTGCAGGAGAGAGGAGAGCAGGGGCAGGTGAGGGCCGGCTCCCTGGCTGGGCTTGCCCACACCCAGAGCCAGGTTGGATCCGCAGAACCACGCCGACGCGTTCTTTCAGGAGAGGCCACTCAGTGGGATCCGGGGCCGACAGGAGAAGCAGAAGCAGATGGCAGGCCCACAGGACACACCGGGGAGCTCTTTACCAATCACTTTGTCGTCGTGCTGACTTCCTTCTCCCCTTAATTGGGGACAAGTGCGGGCAAGGCAAGGGGAAAGCTGTCAGTTCGTTCAGGCTGGCAAGTGCGAGAAGTTATCCAGAGGGATGCTCTACAGAGACCTCAGGTATCTGGGCTTGCAAGGCCCTGAGATGCTCAGGTTCAAGAGCCGAGGTAATTGAAGATACCGCGGACACGGGCTTGGGAACCAGACAGAGCTGGCTGGGTCCCAATCCCTGTTGATTAAGTATCAGCTCGGTGACCTCAGGAAATTCCTTCTCCCTCTATGCCCTGGGCTGCTTGCTATAAAATGGGCAATAAACCTTACAAAGTTCCTAGAAGAATGGAGGATGGTGGAGCACAGGGCATGTGCTCTAGAGACGGTAGCTACTTTTATTATTATTAGTGAAGCAGGTCCAGAGAGGGAAAGGGCCCTGCCCAAGGTCACCCTGCAGATGAGAGGCATGTAATTTCTGAGGCATCGTAGGCATGGCGCCCGTTACCCAGAGGCAGGCTGCTTCTGGGAGGAAGGGAGCCCTCTTTCAGGACAGAATCTCAGGCAATGGCTCTGCTGAGCAGGGGAGGCAGCTAAAGCAAGAAAATGGAAAAAAGAACGCCCGTGGCTTGCTGCCTGTGGGTGCGAGGCTGAGGAAGCAGCAGAGCAGGAAGGGCAGAGGCAGGCGGAGACTTGCAGCGCTGGAGGAGGGGTAACAACAGGAGGGCCCAGCGACTCCAGTGAGTGACGGCTCCTATGACTATAATCACTTGGTGCGAACACGAGGCATTTGGCACACCAGACTTTTATTTCACAGCACTGATGATAGCTCACTCCTTTCAGAAACGGCAGCCAAGAAAAAAGAAGTGGTCCTCCCTTGGGGGGCGTGCAGCTCATCTTGGTAAGCGGGACCCTGCTCGGGCCAGTTCGTGGGACCCTTTCTGCCAGTCCCTTACCCGGCTGCGCAGATCTGATATGATGGCTGAGAGGTCGATGTTCTTCCTCTCGTAGCCCTGCAGCTGGTCTTGGCACTCTGCAAGCTTAGACTCTGTGATCTTGAGGATGTCAGGCAGCTGCTGCAGGTCAGCCAGCTGGGACTGGAATTGCCTACGTGCCTGGGGTCGGGGAGGAAAAGCCCACTGTTGGGAAGGGCCCAGCTGCTGAAGGGTCAAGAAGTGCAGCCTGCCCTCCTGCAGGCCACTGAGCGTGTCCAGTCATCATCAAATACCACCACCAGCACCCAGGCATTGTCCCAAAGGCTCTATGAATTAACTCATTTAATTCATACAACCTGTAAAGTAGGTGTTGTTTTCCCCATATATGGACCTTAAGGATCAAAGGCTCATTTGCCAATGGCCATTGAGCTAGAGCCAAGATCAGAGCCTAGTTTAACTCCCAAGCCCCTAAAAAGGCAACCACAAAGCTGCAGGTCAGACGGAAGGGTAAGAACTACCTGATCTCAGTCCCCCCTTGTATAAATGAACAAGGAGACTGAGGACTAGAGAAGGGCAGTGACTTGCCCACGGTTACACAACAAGTCAGTGGCTGAGCCTGGACTCAGCCCATCTCTGAGGTTATTACTAAAATGATTGTTTGCTTCTAGACAGCCAGGCCAACTCTAGACGAATAAGGCTCTTTGGGGAACAGTACAGGAGGCACAATTTTTGGATGGCACAACAAAAAAACAACACGCAGAACGAAATAGGCATGCCTAACACATGGCATATCTCTGGATTTGAATCCACTTGGATGCTCCAAGCAGGAGATTTTTTTTAAGGAAGTTGGAAGAACGAAAAAATCAGGAGAGAAAAGGAGAAAAAGAAGTATAAGCGAGAAGAGATGAGAGAATGTAGAGAAGACCAGCCCAGCAATAAGGAAATTTGTTCAGCTTTGTTGTCCACACCAGGGAAGATCAAAGGCAAATGAGAGACAGACTGATGGACACAGAATTGGGTGGAGGAAGAAAGCAAGGAAGGGGAGCGGTACCGCTTCAATCTCTTTGTTCATCTCATCTTTAAGGATCTTGTTCTCTTTGTCGCAGCGTTCCAGCTGGGCAGCTACTTCATCGGCCTCTAATCTGGTCTTCAACACCTAGGGACCAACAAAGCATCAGGTGGTCTTGGGCAGAGCCAAGTTTTGGTGAAAAAAACCTTCCACACCAAACCCCTCCCAGGAAAGGCCTCCTGGTCAATCTCCCAGCAGCTGAGCGGTGCGGCCCTTACAGGGCAGGGGCACTTGAGAGAGACCTACCTGACTCTTATAGTTGTCAATCATCCCCTCATAATTCTTAGCCGATGCCTTCAGCTGCTGGACCTCGAGGTGCGCCTGATTGAGTTTGTCCTCCATTGGAGCGAAGCTTGCCTAGAAGAGGTGGCCCCTTAAGTCACCAACAAGAAGGTTCCGAGCCGGTGATCATCCCACCCCCAGTCCCTACTCCCAGGGGCCAGCAGACGGAAGCCCCTCTGTTCAAACCCACACCAGGGGCTCTCCCCAGGCACCAGGGCAAGAGTCCCACGGTGCTCGAGTGAATACAAATACAATTAAGGGACACGTGTTTTCTTGTTCTCATTACAAAAGCAGTAATAAGCAGTAAGACAATGGAGATAAGGCCAAGAGAAAATGAATCAGGATGCATGATACCTGGGTTTATGGCTATATGTTAACGGTTGGGTAGCAGTTTGAATTCAACAAGAATGGAGCTATACCATACTTACTGCTTTGCAACATGTTTTTTCAGCAATTATGTTATGAACTACTTCTGAGGTCAATAAATGTCCTCCTGCAACCCAAATACTCACCTTAGCAGATGGGACAAAACAAACCATGTATCGCGATATGATAAAATAATAAGCAGTCATTAGAAGAGATAAAGCTTTAAAAAAAAGACCTCCATGAGATATTGTTGATGAGGAAAGCAAGCTGCAGAAGAATGGATGAGTGCGTGTGTATGTGTTTGAGTATGTATGTCAGTGTGTGGGGGAGGGGCCCTGGAAAAACACAATCCACAGTTAACAGACCTTTACTTCTATATCACATTTCTGTAATGTTTTACATTTTTACTATGAGCAGGTTTTTCCTTTGTAATTATAATATCTAAGAAAATACACTTCTACAAATATCACTGAATGGCCACACTACATTACCTTACACAGATATATCATCCTGTGAGTAACTCAACTAATTGTTAGACTTGGCGGCTGTCTTTTTTTTGTTGTTGTTAATCCTCACCCAAGATATTTTTCCATTGATTTTTAGGGAGAGTGGAAAAGGGAGGGAAAGACAGAGAGAAACACTGATGAGAGAGAAACACATCAATTAGTTACCTCCTGCATGAACCACGGCCTGGGCCGGGGAGGATCCTGCAACCAAGGTACGAGCCACTGAATGGAATCGAACCTGGGACCCTTTGGTCCGCAGGCTGACACTCTATTCCACTGAGCCAAACCAGGTAGGGCGAGGCCGTCTTTAATTTGCATTGCAATACCTGCACTCCAACAAAGTCTAATGTGTTGTGTTGACGAGGAGACATGGAGCAACTGGTTCTCACATGTCCCTGATGGGAGTGTAAATTTGCACAATTAGTTTCTTGTATAGTAATATCTACCAAAGCCAAACTTATGCACACCATCAGATGACCTGGCAATTCTATTTCAAGGTATAAAACCTGTAAAAATAGCCCTGGCTGATTTGGCTCAGTGGATAGAGCGCCGGCCTGCGGACTAAAGGGTCCCGGGTTCGATTCTGGTCAGGGGCACATGCCCAGGATGTGGGCTTGATCCCCAGTAGGGGGCTTGCAGAGGGCAGCCAATTAATGGTTCTCTCTTATCATTGATGTTTCTGTCTGTCTCTCCCTTTTCCTTCCTCTCTGAAATCAATAAAAATATATATTAAAAAAACAACCTGTAAAAACACATGAAATATGCACATAAAAAGATGTTCTATATCCCAAATGTCCATCCCCAGTAGGATGAATAAATTATGGTGCAGCCATACTGTATAGCATTGAGAATGAATAAAATGCCACACACAACATGGATAACTTTCACAAAGCTAGGCACCAAGTTCAAAAACAGGCAAACTAATTTGTGATGACAGAAATCAGGATAATGGTTACCTTTTGAGGGGGAGTTTGTAACCAGACAATGTCATAGGGGTGCTAATAACGTCCAATCAGGGTGACTGATATGGACATAGTGTGTTCATTTTGGTATGGTGTACTTACTTAAAATCATTCTTAACAAACAGAAAACATGACTAAAAAAATAAACCTAGCCCAACTGGTGTAGCTCAGTGGTTGAGCATTGACCTATGAACCAGGTCACGGTTCAATTCCCAGGCAGGGCATATGCCCGGTTGTGGGTTCGATCCCCAGTAGTGGGCGTGCAGGAGGCAACTGATCAATGTTATCTCTCATCATTGATGTTTCTATCTCTCTCTCCCTCTCTCTCTGAAATCAAGAAAAATATTTTAAAATAAATAAGCCTAGATACTACTGTCCAGATCAATGGAAACCAAACCTGGCTCTGAAATGTCACCCTCTATTCTGGTGCCTCTTGCCCCTGGCAGGAGAGGAGGATATATGGCAAGTTGTTATGAGCGAGAGCTCCAGACCCAGACTCAGGTTCAAATCCCAACTCCAACACCTCCAAGGGTAAAATCTTTTTTTTCCCCCAAGGGTAAAAATCTTGGCAAGAAACTTGACTTTTCTCCAAGCCTCAATTTCCTTATTCTATAGAGACAGTGATCACATTATTGGAAGATTGAAGTGCAAATGAATTCATGTGGAGGGTCCCCCAGGAGAGTCAGTGTTAATTAACCTCAAAGTCAAGTCTACTGCACGTGATTGGCTGAGTGTCATGTCATTCTCACAAGCACCTCATTTCTTTTTTCTTTTTTTTAAATATATTTTATTGATTTTTCACAGAGAGGAAGGGAGAGGGATAGAGAGTTAGAAACATCGATGAGAGAGAAACCGATTCAGCTGCTTCCAGCACAGTCCCTACTGGGTATGTGCCCAAAACCAAGGTACATGCCCTTGACCAGAATCGAACCTGGGACCCTTCAGTCCACAGACCGACGCTCTATCTACTGAGCCAAACGTCAGGGCTAGCACCTCATTTCTTGCAGCAACCGAGGATGAGATCTCTCACCCAGGTCCCATAGCTGGTAAGAGGCAGAGGCAGGACTTGAATCTGGGCAGTAGGTCTTAATTTAAATCTCTCGGACATTGCTTTTACTTTTTTAATTTTTTAAAAAATTGATTTCAGAGAGGATGAGAGAGAATCATTGATTGGCTGCCTCCTGCACACCCCCTACTGGGGATCGAGCCCTAACACAGACATGTGCCCTTGACTGGAATCGAACGGGGCAGCCTTTAGTCTGCAGGCCGACGCTCTATCCACTTAACCAAACTGGTTAGGGCAGAAAGTTGTTTTATATTCCGAGGTCACCCCAACCTAAATTACTAACTCAGTTAAAAATAATTTATTTCTGCCCTAACCGGTTTCTAACTCTCTATCCCTCTCCCTTCTTTTCTGTAAAAAATCAAGAAAATAGATTTTTAAAAATAAATAAATAAGTAAAAGTAGTAGACAGTAAAACCCTCGTGTGGCCATTCATCCACGCTCCGACTCCAGAGCTCCTAATCCCTCTGCTCCCTCCAGGCCCTCTCTGGGGAC